TCCAGCGCTCGTCGATGCATCGCTTCTGCCTCCTCGTACTTACCCTGCCTCTCCAGCACCGACCCGAGCTGGCTGACACTGGTGAGCGTGTCGGGATGCTCCCGCTCAAGCACCTCCTCTCTTGCCGCAACTGCACTGCATCCAATCCGCTCTGCCTCTGCATACTGCCCCATCAGCATCAGGTACCACGCCGTGTTGGTCGCGATCGTCGCTTGGTCCAGCCTCGCCTCATCGTTCTTCTCCGTGCTGTAGCCAAGCACCTTTGTCGAGTGCGGAAGCAGAGTTCGACAAGCCGCCCACGTCTCGTGCTGGCCACTGGGAAATGCTGCCGCCATGATCCGCAGCGCTGCTCTCTGCCACACATCAACTTGACCATGCAACTTCACCCATTCCCTCGTCGCGAGCTGCACCAAGCTGTGCATCTCAAACAGTTGCTCCTGGAGTCGCATTTCTGGCTGCTCTCTAGCTTGCGCCCTGATTAGAGAGAATCGTAGCAATGGCCCTACAGCTTCTGCAAATTGCAGCTTGCTTCTGCCCTCATATAATACGTGTTCGGGGACACCCTGTCTGTCGAACATGGTCATTAGCGAGAGCAGGTCCGCCGCCTCAGGCCTCGTCTTTCGGATCTGCTCGAACGATAGTTGCCAGGTGGTGATGACCGCGCTTGACACACCAGCGTCTCGCCTTATGTCTCTTGCCTTCTTGTCGTTTAGGAGGTGCGCTTGGTTCTCTTCGCTCTCGCGGAACAGCTCGAGATACGTAGCGATATCCACCATCGGTTTGTTCACTGTAATGTATGCGGCCGCATGGGTGACAGCAAGCGGGATGCCTTCTAGCGTCTTGACAAGCGCTCGCGCGTCACCCTCAGCAGACTCGACCACCTGCATCTTCGACCTCAGCAGCTTCAGTGCCTCGCGCTCGCCCATCGGCTCCACCTCAATCACGTTAAGTCTCGCTCCCACTAGGTTCATAGCGGCGATCAGATCTCGCGAGGTGACCAGTATCCAGCCGCTCGCCGCTTGCGGGAGGAAGCTTGCCAACGGTGCCGCCGCTTCCTGAGCGGGATCAGCCCCGTGTGCAACGCCGTCCAAGTCACCATTGGCGCTGGCGCTGGTCGAGGTGAACACTTGATCATCGTCAGCGTTGTCGACGATCATCAGCCACCGCCCGTTCTTCTCGTCGCAGAGCCAGTTGTGCACCAAGCAGAGGATGTCCGTCTTTGGATCGTCGCGCCCCGGCAGCTCGACCCTAACGGCGATCTCTTGATAGGCTTGCTTAAACCTTGCGGCGTTGCTCGCGTGCACCCAGAACACCCATATGTGCGGCGCAGCCTCTCTAGCTCTGTACGCGTACTCGATAGCAACCTGTGACTTCCTAGAAACAACATGAGCAATGACTCTGGACCCGCTCGTATGCCTGCAGACCTACCCTACACCTCCCAGACCCACAAGGGCCACTCGGCTATGATCCTTTGAGGCTGTACGTCTATGCATCTCATCAATCTTTGCAAGGACATCATTTCGGCCCACAAATGCACCGTCTCGTGGAAATGGTACCATGTTCGACGGTTTAGGCCTGTTCTGCGCTCGCGCTAGGAGTCAGGGTCGTTAGCTACGATCAAGCACAACTGTAGCTAAACAGACAGAGCTTCTTGCTTGGCAGTGGATATATTGATTAAAAGTGCCACAGCTACGTACCAAAGCGACCTGCGACTGCACCCGGAGCATCCCGCGCAAACTGCATAAGCTTGTCCCGTGCGCTGCTGTATCCTTGGGCGTTCTTGTTGTCGAACTTGACAATCATCGAGTGGTCAGCATCCAGAGGGATCTTGTCCTCCATATTGCCTGGAAGCTGGAGCAGCGCCGAGTCGCTGTCTACCGCCGTGACAAGGTCGCCTGTCCGCGTGCGTTGCTCACCTTCGCTGTCCTGTCATCAACACGTCAGTGACCCTCTTGCGCCTTGCTTGCCTCACAACACCGTACAAATTGTAGCTGCTGCGTCTGCCTTCTCTCGTAGAAGCTGACGATCTTTCGGTCTCGGACAAGGTTCCTGAAGTCGTCTAGCTGCGATGCTAGCAGGTCGGACTTTTCCTTGATCTGCTCCAGCAGTGCACTCCGCGGGTGACGATCCTCCCCAGCCAACATTTTCTGCATATTATCTACGACGAGCCCTTTGTGTGGGATCCCAAACAGAAGCATGCCGTACGTAGCCCTGTAAAGGGATGCTATTGTCGGGTGGTCGTCTTCCATCGTCTGGACCGCCTTGACAAGGCACTGTGCAGCTGCTTAGCCGTGTGCACGCAGCTTCCTGAGCGGGCGACCTACATGGGCGAGTACTATACCGCCAAAGCTATGTGCAATGAAGAAGAGCGGCCGCTGTCGTAGCTAGCGCGTTGCAGCTGTCAGCCTTGCGCATGCGCACTCACACACCGTCACCATAGCAGCCCGTGCCTCTACTCACCTCCTCTGTGCCCCGGATCTTCTTGAGCTCCTCTAGAAGGCCCCGACCGTAGTCCATGATGGTGTCCACCCCGCGGCTCGACAGCCTCGAGTTGTAGCCATAGATCATGGTGCGGCAGCACGGCAGGTCTTTGCACAGGAAGTCGCGCAGCCACATGCGCCCGAGGCTGCCTTCACCCCGCCACGAGTCGTACGCGTGGCCGTCGAGGCCGGTGATGGCGATCACACTGCGCGCACAGAGTCAGCAGCTAGACAGCGCCAACAAATAGGAAGCGCAAGCCGTCTGAAGAGAACAAAACAACATGGTGCGTACTCTGCAACAACTGGTGCGTCAGGCGTTGGCGTATACAGCTGGGTGAAGCCAAAGAAGTGCTGGTCGAAGTTAATGTCCGTGTCGCCCATCTCCATCTGTGACTCCCCCAACGGATCGGCTATCAGCTCTGACAGGAACGCAGGCACCCCGCCACGGCACTCCACCAGCGCGACCTTTTCCTCATCGTTGTAGCAGGAGGGAACAACAGCCACTCTGACATCTACCCTTGATTGCTCGTCGTCGGTGAGGCTGTCGCTGATTGCAGCCTTCAGCAATGCCGTCAGCTCCTCGTCAGGCTGCGAGGCTGCGAGGCCGGTGACGCGGAGAACGGGGCCCTTCTTCGTGACGGCCATGTTGATTCAGAAGGGCATCGTTAAGCGCAGTGTCTGCCAGCGTCTACAGCGCCTACAGCCTGGAGGTCGCGAGCAGGCCGGCAGAGGATTTGTAGGCGGAGGGTTGATGATATGTGAGCAGGTGGTGAGCGACCATCGCTGGGCTGTGCTGTGTGGGCTGGACTGATGCAGGCAAGATGATGCAGGCCAGGCGCGTGCCAATCAGCGACGGAGGCTGTGCTGCATGGGGTGTCTTCACTCGGCTGTCCAGCGCAGCCTGAGATGACCATCCAGATATGCTGATGGCAATGGCCAACCTGGCGTTCACACTTAGGTTGCAAGGTCGCAGCCAGGAGGCTTTGCTGCTAATGGAAACATGTATTCAGGTGCGAGCACGAGTGCTGGGGCTTAGTCATCCCGACACCAAGCCTTCTACAGCGACGTTGTGCCGCTGGCGCTTGGAGAGCCTGGATGAGCTGTACTAAATTAGGTAAGGCGTAAAAAGCTATGTATTAGCTAGTAAAGAAAACTAGCCTAGCGCCACGGAAGCGTACCGAACGCTGCTCGCTTGGACTCGCGCTGCTTGGCGCACGCCGTCTGACCAGGAACACTGCTCGCGTGCAGGCAGCACACGGCTGCAGATCCTAGAGATTAGGGGAGAGATAGGCCTTTCGTAGCTGTGTTGCTTGAGCTTTTGAGAGACAGCAAGAGCAGAGGTGGCTGTGTCGCAATCAGGGTGCAAAGCCAGCACTATGCTCGACGCGGTGCACGTAACAATCAACAGGACGGCCACAACTGCTGTAGTTTTCTAGCTGCAAGGCGGGAGACCATGGGACAACAGCCAGAGAATGGATTGTTACAGGCGAGAGATGATCTGCACGAAAGGTGGAGGTTCGAGGTGGTTTGGTGGTGAGTGCCATCTCTGTACAGGGGGTTTCTCGCTACTGAGGTGGGGATGTTAGGTGGTGTTGGTGTTTAGAGGGGGTGTGGATATGTCAATGCATGAGAGCACTGTTTCGAATGCTGGTACAGTATAGCAGATCTCAAGCAGTTCCTCTGCGTGCCGCTAGGTGATTTCACGTCTTGACACATATTTTCGTACCCACAATCCGTGAAACCTCCGCTGTACAATACACACCTCCTTCCAACTCGCTGCCCGTTCTTGGCACTTGTCAACCGCCGCTCACCTCCTCTTCCTCTCCAACCACTCCCCAGCCCTCTTTGCACAAGCGCGTGCCTCCCTACCAAACCCCAATATATTCCCCAACAAAAGCAGATCATGCGGAACATGCTTCTCCACATCCAGCGTAACATCGTTGCCCGCCTGCTTCATCTTCTCCGCCCACTCACAATCATCAAAATACAATACCTCCCCACTCCCCGTGTTCACGAAAATCGGCACCGACGTCTTGAACGTCCGGTTTTTGTGGCTCACATATGGGTGTGAGAGTATGGTTTTGCCGCCAGACCCTGCGTACGCGCTGGAGCCCCAAAGTGTAAAAGGGAACGAGATGTAGTCGGTGCTGTAGTTGGGGTTGTTGTGCACGAAGTCGTCGGATGTGTCGGAGGGGTCGATCCACGGGCTCCAGAGCAGCGCGGCGGAGGGGTTCGGCAGCGAGAGATCCGCGCCGTACTCGGCGATGTAGCGCAAAAGCGAGATGGACCCGTTTGCGCCGGCGCTGTCACCCGACAGAATGAGGTCGGAGGGCGCGATGTGCAGGTCATGCAGCAGGTACAGGTACGCCGTCAAGCTGTCTTGGAGGGCGGCGGGGAACGGGTTCGACGTTCTGCTCGCTGGGAGTGTCGAGACGCGGTACTGCGGCATCAGGATGTGTGTTGCGCCGACGTGCTTCTGGAGGAGCTTGGCGAAGTAGCCGCTTGCTTGTGTCCTGCCATCGCCGGAGACGAATGCGCCGCCGTGGATGTGGAGGATGACTTTGAGGTTGGTCTTGTCGGCGGATGCTGACAGAGGCTTCGGGTACCATGTTGCGCCGATCTCGACGGGCTGGACATCGTTGTTGATGCGCAGCGGGCCCTTGTACTGGTCACCTCCCGCCGGCTTGATGCGCACGAAGCGCTCCTGCTCGCTGCCTGGTGTAAGCGGAATTGGTGTCTTCGCTTGGATTTTTGCGCTGTGGTAGACGACGGCGAAGACGATGCGCGTGGTGAGCGCCTGGCGGAAGGTCCATTCGGGGTGCTGCCGCCCGTAGCTGGTGAGGTACTTGACGATGAAGAGGGGAAGACGTAGAAGCTCGAAGCCTAGTGCGGCGAGCACGTATACGCCTTTGACGGGCTGGTAGGTGAGCAGGGCCATGGCTGCGACTGAACAGGAGCAGCTACAAGCAAGATTATGGAGGCCTGGAGGCCCCAGAAGCGGAGAACATGGTGGTTTATAGCATGTCGTGCTAGTTGGTTCTCAAGTCTGGTAGCTCTGCTTGGATCGACGTCGATCGAAGAGTTGAGTCGAGGCACGCCATTTAGCGCCACAACATATTCACGCCGTCCGTACACACTTCGGATTTGCACTCCTCTTCTCCGCAGGCGATGCTAGCGTCAGCAACCTCACGAATGCATACTCACTGCGCTTGGGCACGCTACCCTGTGTTACATGCACAATATGACACTTGAGGAGGGTTTGCACTCCATTTTCATCTATCATCACTAATTCTGTTTCCAACCCTGCCTTGAATTGCTGTCAGCAGCGCAGCTCGAGCTGCCCTTGGGGTTGGTGGGGTTATTGGCTGCAGTTGTTGTGGCCGAATATTCGACAAGGAATTGGCTGGAGTGCCTTGCGCGCTACGTTGGACGCTCTTCTGCGGTTCGTCATCGTCACTCGTCAGCATGCTCCTCAGAGTCGGAACAATTTCTGGCTTGGATTGAGCGCTCGCGCCGAAGTCTGCGTGGCTTTGATGAATTCTTATCATCAGTCTTGGGAGGAGGATCTGGTGTAGATGCGTATGGACCGCTACGAGATGCTCTCGTCGATCTTCGAGGAGCGCTAGGTGCGTCTGTTGGACCGTCTGTCGGCTCTGGGAGCCAGCTTGAGACGGGCGCGCTGAAACCCTTCCATCCTCGAATGATTTGCCTGAGTGTGGTGCAAGTAAGCCTTGATACACATTTGAACGCTCGCTCAGGCGGAGAATGATACCAGCGGGCCACCCTTTGGGGCCGTTTGGACTAGTGAATGGTGTTGCGGTGTCAGTCGGTCCTTACAAGACCCGATTACCCTTGCTTAGACTGTTATGGACTAGCACGTTCCAGGGACAGTATATATCGTCATCTCCTAGCTAGATAGCAACTCAGCGCAGTATTTCATCGACCCGATAGTCCTACGTTATCGTTTACCGTAGCTATCAGTATACTACAGCGGCCCATGCTGCCACAAATGGAAGCAAGTCCACAGGTAGAATCATGTTCCAACTCGCAAGTCCTCAGGTCTGCGCGATGTCGTCGAGCGCATTATGGGCAGTGTCATGGTTGGTCACCCCGAGATCAAACTCATCGACCTCGGATTCCTTACCTTCGAGGCCCCCGACAAGCCGAATGCGTGCAAGGCTGAGGTCTGCAGTCGTCATCCCGAATTCGATTTCGTCGTATTCTTCACCATCAGTGCGTTCATGAATTGCCTCTCGAACGTATTCCCTCACTCTGGGAGCATAAGTTGTGACCTCACGGATCTCCCATAGACTATCGAGAAGTCCGCTGACCCAATAGAAAGTGTTGGCATCCAGGTTCGGCGGAAGTAGGCTTCCGAAAAACGTGTCGATATGCTGTAGGTTCCACGCTTCCTCAAGGAGCGCTATAGTGTTTGCAAGAGAGGATGCTAGTGATTCAGGAGATGTGCGATCGTCTGATGCTATTGCGGTACGACTATTTGCGTGTCAGTCTTCAGGGAGTTTTTTACAGGGCCCAATGAACTAACAATCCCATGTCTTCGTGTAGTAGCACCCGCGCAAACGTGACAGAGACGGGTGAACAGCTATGGTACAATCGCAAAGCTTCCAGAAAGTAGGGAAAATCAGGTGTGATGACAGCGCGAGCGTGCGAGCGAAACAGATCGTACTGTTAGTAAGCTGAGTTGAGAAGTTGCAAAGTGGGAAGCTGAGCAAAGGCGTAAGGGTGCGAGGTGCTGGTCCCACTAAGGTGTCTGTGCCCTCACGCTAACGAGCTTGAAGTGAAAGAAACCCAGAACGCCTGCCTATTCTTCAAAGAGACAACTTCATAGAATCGTATTTTGAGGCGTTGCACACAAAGAAACTTATCTGTGATCTAGAGTCAGACCAAAATTCGGTTAGGTACGACAACTTTCTCCGGAAACGTGAGAAACGAGCTTGATTGGTTTTCGGCTAGGGGCGAAAGTGAAGCAAGAGAATCAGTAACGCAACCCCTTGCACTCCCTCTGACATCCTCCTCAGATTTACGCGTGTCGAATACCAACCAACGCTTATCTTTGGACCGATGAATTTGCTGTCTCGAGTTGTGTCTGTAAGAGAAGTCGTCTGCGTCTTTCGGGGTAGACTCAAAGTTGAGGTGACTGCTGCTATGGTATCATAAGAACCGTCTTCCGAGAAGGTTTAAGAGCGTGACTCGTCATGAGAAGGTTCGTGGGCGTACCAGCGTGCTGTGACTGTCCCGTTTACCATTGAGCCTCTCCCTTCGACCGCGCTGCTTTCTTCGGTTTTCTCCTTGGGCATAACATTAACTTCTGTTGAATTCGAGTCCCTTTTATGCAGAGTCTGCGATGGCTCCAAGGGGGATTGCTACTAATGAGCTTCCCACATAGCACAAACATCAAGTCCAATGCCACAGGTCACGTGGCCTAGTTGGAGCAGTCAGGAGCTATCATTGTTGCGAGACTCGGGCGGATACGGGCATCGTGTGAGCGTCGCTATGTTCGTGATCTTGATGCAGCGTTGTTGTTACCATTATGCCTTTGTTGTCAGCCGCAAGTGCTTCTTGACTGCTCCTTGTATCGTCCCAGTACGGGTCCTTCCTCGACATCCGAGAACGAACAGCACCAACGTTTACAGTGTTCATCCTGATTATATCAGGGCGAAGCTGGCTGCCACCCGATCGGCTCTGTGTATGTCGATAGTAGCCGTGTGTATCATATGAAACACGAGAAGTGCGGGCGGTGCGGTAAAGTACGGCAAAGGCAGGGCAGCAGCCAATGCATATGGCGATCGAGGTTTCGATGATTGTCCAAAGAGCGAGCCAGGTTGGGTTGGGAGTGTTGGTGTCGCCCGTCTGTCGACCGATCTGTACCACTCGCAGAGTTGCAAAAGCTATGCATATGAAACCGGATGCAAACAGCGCGATGATGGCTATCTTTTGGCCCCGTGGGACTTGAAGGTTCCAGACCAGTCGTATGGGTAGAAGCATGACTAATGCCATTAGAGAGTTGTCTAGGTGAAGAGAATGCAATGGCTTACTCATGAAGTCTGATAAAATATCGACAGTGTATGAAGTGTACAGGCTAGCCAACTGGCCACGAAGACTTCGAGGCCCTGAGCACTCCCCAGTCCGCATGGATGCTGCGAAGTCAGGACAGGATGTCAAGTAGGATACCATACAACCAGCCAGCGACTAACCATGTACGTTAGCAAGAGCACAACAGTGGATAAAAGCCACTTACGATAAGGCAGAAGATGAACACTGCCCACCAAAGCCGTACATATATCATCGGAAGGCCTGTCATCAGCTTCTTGTACAGCGCCAACAGAGATAGCTTGACCAGCCACAGCGACATCCAGAAGAACATAGTTGTCACGAACATTACACGAATGTACATGACGACATCTGCTGCCATTGTCGCCCATGGAGCCATGGAGCCGTTCGTAACCCTTCCGATCATATAGATTTTCGGTATGATGACGAGATAGCAGACTGACATGATAAGAAAGAATAGATAGGCAGCATAAATGAGGTAGTCCTGCAACTGCATCGCTTTTCGTTTCCATATCTGAATGCCGCCGCGTGCAATGGTGAAGAGTGAGGCTAACACGACCATTGTGTATGTCACCTCGTGGAACCGCCGTTCAGAGACAAGCTCATCGTAAGTCGCTGCCATGGTGTAATGGTTGACAGGCGGTCATTACGTCTGTAGTGATGGGTTTTGCGGTCTTGAACATAGGAGATGAGAGACTCCGCTAGGGAACGAACCAGTCAGGATGAAGGAAGGCTGCACACGATGTCCATTCCCAGCATACCAGCAGCAAATCATCAGGACCGCACAACAATGCAGATTTGCCTCGTCCAAAATAGCCTAGTCGGCCAAGGGCGGCGTTGAGTCCGAATTGGGTTCCTCCTGCATACCGGTATCTGGGAAGCACACGGCCTGTCATCCTGCTACTTGTTCGTAACCATAGATTCGATATGCCAGAGAGTGGGTTTCAACAGCCTTGTCAAAAGGGCAATCCTGCGCTGAACGTGCGGTTTTTCCAGTACCTCCTTTCATGGACATTCCTTTGCTTGGCTGCATACACATGCTGACTCAATGGTAATTCGAAACGAAGTCCTGATGGTCACTGGGAATTTCGAGCATGACACCTGAACAATACTTAGATCGACCGGTTATTCGGGACACTTGAGATAGTCTGCGGCGCGGTTTCTTGGTACAGTTCGCCAGGAAGCAAAAAAATTTGACCCTCATTCAACATGCCGCATTAGTGAACAAGACAGGCAAGCCGAGAACACGATCCTGAGTGATATGCGTGGAGCAACCTCCGGTCGTGTATGCATGGAAACCACTAAGGTCTGAAGAATCCAGGGACGGGAGGGCGCGGCTCGCGAGTGGAATGGTTGAAGAGAAGGAACAAGGGGCGGCACTCGGTGAGCCGCCTCCGCGCGTTGCAGGTAGAGATCTGTGACCCGTGCGCTAGCCAAACTTCAACGATGTTTCGATGTCCATTTGTGTACCGTTTTCAACCCACCAGCACACCCGATACTGATAATACCTCTTACCATGATATGCAATATTGCAAGCCCGTTCGAACTTGCGCAATGATGCCGTGGCGGTTTCAAGGCACGAACGCATCCTTTGTTTGCCCCCGGGACCTTTGAATCCTGCAGGATTCAGCCTAACCCTGCATGGCATTGCTTAGGTTAATATCCTCCGCCTGTAAACACGAATGTACTAAACTCCGGTTCAAGTTGGCCTAAAGTCGTCGTGTCATAGGCTCTCACAACTTCAGTTGTGGATGCTTTTGGCGGAACAGAAATGATAGCCCGCAGCCGGACAAATTGCCACATTAGGACTCTGCTCTCATCTCAGGCGGCGCCTTCTGTGAACATGCGTTTGGCGACTCGGACGAAGCTCTCTGATGCTCCGAGACAATGGGTTACCTAGACTCTCCAGGGCTAGGAGGTTGTAAAGAGAGAGACTACTTGCACTCACCAACACAGATCAGTCGCATCCAATTTCCAAGCAATGCTCCGCGCCACCGTGTCTCCCTACTTCCACAGCATCCGCGGCTATGGCCACTTGAACTCCAATTAAAGAGCGGTTACCCACCGCTAACATGCAGAATCATCGGTGCCATTCTGTCCTACGTTGCACACGGCTTTTCTAGCTTCGCTGCTGCACGTCGCTCCCGGTCATCACATATTTACCATCACTGCGACGGCAAGTATGAAGAACATTGTTCCTTTGGCAGCCCTTGTGGCTGGTGCTGCTTCTCAGAGCACGTTCGAACCGGTTGACTTCAACATCACCGAAGCACTCCTCGACAACGGCGTGAACCTCTCGGCTCTTCCTGACCTGGCACCACTCGTTGATAGAGCATCGACCAGTGGCTGTTCTGCTGCTGTAAGTTACAACGAGCATTACATCAGAAAGACCATTCGCTGACCATACCATAGTGCAAATCCCTCAACCTCATCTTCGGTAACAGCAATCTTGAGGTTCAGTCAGAGACAGCGTTCACATCTTTCATCAACTCATACTGGTCTGGCCAGCAGCGCGACATCACTCCTCAGTGTGTTTTCAAGCCCACCAGAGCTCTAGATGTATCGACCGCCATCTTGATCTCGCGCCTGACGCAATGTCCATTCGCGGTCAAGAGCGGCGGCCACTCTGCCGTACCTGGAGGCTCAAACATTTACAGCGGCATCACCATCAGCTTCGAGAAGCTGAGCAAGATTTCTCTTGCTGCCGATAAGAAGACTGCTTCTTTCCAGCCTGGCCACACCTGGTACGACATTTACACTGCACTGGAGAAGGACAATGCTACTGTCATTGGAGGTCGCGTAGCCAGCGTCGGTGTCGGCGGCTTGACTCTTGGTGGAGGTATTTCCTACTTCTCTAGCCAATACGGTCTCGCATGCGACAACGTCTTGAGCTATGAAGTCGTCACCGCGTCTGGTATCATTATCAACGTTAGCCAAACTTCATACCCGGATCTTTACTGGGCTCTGCGCGGCGGCGGTAATAACTTCGGTATCGTAACCCAATTCAACGTACAGGCTGTGCCCCAAGGGCAGATGTGGGGTGGTATGCGAACCTACCTCGAGTCGTCCTTCCCTGCTCTGATTGAGGCCTACTACAACCTCGGCATGAACGCGAAAAAGGATGGCAAAGCGCACCAGATTCTCTCGTTCGCTTACAGTGGCGTGCCTGTTGCACAGGTCGAACTCGAATACTCCGAGCCTAACCCCAACGCTACCATCCTGGCTGAATACAACGCGATATCTGGCGCTGTCGCGGACCAGACTGGCGTCAAGAGCCTTGCAGAGCTTACCTCAGCGCTTGAGGGCCCTGCTAGTGGTGCCGGCCTTCGTCAAGCGTTCTGGACGTGGACAGTCAAGCTTGACAAGGATCTGGCAACCTCCACCAAAGACATCTTCTTCGAGGAGGTTACTGCCATCACCGACGCCGCCGACCTCGTCGCAGCGGTCTCTCTGCAAGTCATCACCGAACCCATCCTCGAGAAGATGAATGTACGTGGGGGCAACGCGCTTGGCCTCTCCGTCGCCGACGGACCGCTCATGAACGTCCTGATCGCACTGAAATGGTCCAACACCACTGATGACTCACGTCTGAACCAGTTTGCTGCGAAGGTTAAGGACCGCGCAGTCGCTGCAGCAAAAGCGAAGGGTAAGGATGTGGCCTACTTGTACATGAACTACGCCAGCCCCTGGCAGGATCCTGTTGCTGGGTACGGTGCGGCAAACAAAGCGAAGTTGCAGAAGATTAGCAAGAAGTACGATCCTACTGGTGTGTTTGAGAAGTTGCAGCCTGGGTACTTTAAGTTGGGTGGTGCGCCGAAGATTGGTTCGCCGTAGGCGGGTACGGTGGTTGAGAGCAACTTGGGGTGCGCGTAGGTATATAATGAAATATTGACACAATTTATTGTGTGAATTTTCCTTCTCTTCTATTGTGACAGTGCAGCTCGCAACTCGTTTTATTCTTCTCAGAACACCAGACTTGCGCAATATCACTTCAAGATATACTTGTATACCTCCAACGTCAGGAAAGATTCTCTCACGACTGTTGACGAGCCCACTGTAGACATAACGATAACAAGTAACTTTTCTGAACGAGCCGACAACAGCGAAGACGACGACTTCGCAGCGGACCTACGGTCTCTACTCGACAGCTTGAGACACTCTGGCGACTACAACAACCCACGATCCAGAATCCTGACCGATGACACTGGAACAGCACAACCTCCTCGTGCTAAAAAAGAACGCATCAAAGTCTCAAGAAGCTCTGCGACAAGTTCCATCCGAGTACGCTAACAACTTCCCGCCTCAACTTGAAGTTTCGAAAACGGTTTTTGAAGTCGCTTCATGATATCAAGGACCGAGTTCTGGATTTTGTATTGAAGCTCGGGAAAGTATCTCCCATCGAGTACGGCGACCCGTCGAACTCGCACAAATCGTTGCACTGGCGCGCGCAGCAGCAATGCCCTGGAACGAAAATCGACAGGTCGAGCCAACGCCTCTTTGACGTCATTTTGAAGACAAAACAACCGGAACTTTGGAATTGCCAGTGGGCCGGCCATGGGATGTTTCAAGGAGTTGGTAAAGGCTTGGTATAGGAGGAGTCTGTTTGTTATCAAGGATTTTGATGTTTTGGCAGACTTTGCCATAAGTGTTTGTTGGCATATGGAGGTTGTGCCGAAACCGCATCCTACTAAAGTCGAGTTCTTGGTTACCGAGGATGGCTTGAAGCAAGAGAAGGATGTTGTTGCGGTATCAATCGATCCGTACAAGGTATGACTATGCTACCAGAGTTTCGTGATAAAGTTGGCGTTTGAGCATCTTTTGAGAAAAGGTACAGCGCGATTCCTAGGGACCTTGTCGGGTTTACCGCCACTCGAGTGGCTTCAAGCTTACCGGATCGACAGATCTGTTCACACTAAATGAGATCATGCGCTTTTAATCCGCTCTCATTCAAATCTGCATTGTGCATTCCTCAAACGATGCTCTACTGCACTTTATAGAGTTGGAATGTCTCATGGTTTGGAGGCAGAACTCGCCAGTGCAACAATCTCTCAATGACGCTGCACAAACCTCACCTTTGTGCTGTTCCCAGCCAAAGCGCCTTTGTCCCACACTCACCTAATCCACCAATCGTACTTCCAATCTCACACATACTGAGGATCATATTTGAATTCTGGCAGGACGGCAATACACCACTCACAACCATGGATCTACAACCTCGTAAAGTCCGCTTGTTGTACCCACTTAGCCACAACCCGCACATTTACTACGACTCACCAGCTCCGACGATGAAGATGATCTACCGCTTTGCTCCAATACCATGATAGCTGTTCCTAGTAAGCGTCGTGGATCTGCGACTGATGAGCGATGAAGGAGAGTGAGGGCGCGTAGGGTCTTGACAGTTGGAGATGCACCTCGAAACGTGCCTCAAAGTATACCTCGGAACAATTCTCAGTGTACACTACAGGAGGCAGTCCAAGACGCAAGACGAGACATCCCCCACAACGTGCCTAAAGACGACCTTCCACAGCCGAACGCTGTTCCTGTACAGGCTACTGACCAACCACAAATAGCACCCGGCGCTGGGATATTGAAGGGCTCGAGGAAGGAGGGGGCGGGGAGAGAGGAAATTGTGAGAGCTGTGGGTTATATGCGAAAGGGAGTGGTTGAAGAGAAGATTAAATGGTGTAAGGGGATACATGGAGGGAGGAATGCAAGAGGAATATGGTGCGTACAGGATGGTGCACGAAATTGTTGGAAATTGTCCGCTAGACGTAGTGGGAGGAGTTCTTGCCACAGAAGGCGCGCTGTGAGCACTGTACAAGCTTCCTCGTCTGTTCTTTCCTTTTGTGTTGTGGCGGATTTGGTGTCTGTGTCAGCTTCCGGTCCAATGGAAGCGCGCCATCTCGACTCATCCTGAGCGCACTCTTGGCCCCGCTGAACGCATTCGGACCATTCGGGTAGGACATCTAGCTGCAAACCAGTGGAGTGTATATGAGATGCGGTTGCTCAAGCTCTTTCAAAAATTCGAAACAACACCGGGAACCTACTCGTTTGCAGTTTGTTGAACAAGTCGAGATCAGTCACGAAGCCGAAGTACTCCCAAATTGTGGCTGGACACAGCGCCGAGGCAAAGAAGATGGTACGCGGAGGGACAGGCACACCGCCAGTGGTAGAAGAGCACCCTGGCGGTGGTCATATCACGGTTACAGCGCAGCAATCGCGGTACGCGCTCGATGCTGTCGATGCACCTGCATCGAAAGAGGTATATCGCACCTTCCCTATGCAAGATCATAATTTGACAACGGGAGATCTTGATCAAGGACCTCTCAATCTCAGTCGCCAATCGCGAACTCCTCAACCGTACGACACTGCACCTGGTGGAGTCGCGCCATTATGTGCTTGTCGGACGCAATGGCACCGGAAAGTCGACACTGCTGAAAGCCATCGGCGACGGGTTCATCCCAGGCATCCCGTGGAGTACACAAATTCTTTTGCTTGGCCAGACACGCGAATCAGAAGTCGCAGATGAGCTCGACAGTCTCAAGCTCGAAGATGAGACAGTTCTACAGCATGTTGTGAGAAGCGATCGAGTGCGGGAGAGGTATACACGAGAAGCCAAGATTCTCAGCGATGCTGTCGAGAACTCTAAAGATGCTATGGCGCCGGTGCGAGCGTACAGACGTATCCAAACCGAGAGGCTTGCTTTGATGTTGAAGGAGGCACATCGTATTGCAGAGAGGAGGAGTGGAGCCAGAGGGAAGCTGGCGCGAAAGGAGCTGATCAAGCTCGAAGAGCGGTACGAGATGTCAAAGAAGGGAGTCGAAGAGGAAGAGAGCGAGGTGGATCCCACGCGCATGAGCGAGGATACGCAAGCCGCCGCAGACATGCTCTCCAGTGTTCAAGCTTCCCTCGAGCTTATGGATGCAGCAGCGGCAGAGGCCAAAGCTCGAAGGGTTCTGCTCGGTCTTGGGTTCAAGGAAGATCGCATAGACAAGCCCAAGTTGCAATTGTCAGGCGGGTGGCAGACCCGGTGCGATCTCGCCTGCGCGCTGACGCAGCATGCTGACGTACTTCTGCTGGACGAACCGACCAACTTCCTGGACTTGCCTTCGATCATCTGGTTGCAAGATTACATCAACAACATGACGAGCACAACAATCCTCATAACCACGCATGATCGCGACTTTGGCGATGCTGTGGCAGAAGAGCTGGTCCTGTTACGCAACCAGGTGCTCGAGACGTTTCGTGGCAACTTGAGCCTCTACGAGCGAGAGAAGCATAAGAAGATACTGTATCTGACGAAGATGAAGGATGCGAAAGACAAACAGAAGAAGCACATCGAGAAGTCGATCGCTGGCAACATCAAGGCGGCCAGAGACAAAGGAGATGATAAGAAGCTGAAGCAGGCTGCATCGAGGCAAAAGAAGCTCGATGAGCGATGGGGCGTAGAGGTGGGACTCAAGGGCGGCCGCTTCAAGCTGAACCGCGATCTTGGAGGCTACCACACGACGCATCGAGCTGAGATCGAGATACCGGACTTCGACCCACCTGTCAAATTGACCTTCCCGCGGCAGCCTCCTGATCTGAGGTTTCCAGGCGCGCTGGTGAGCATGGAGAAAGTGACATTTGCGTATCCAGGCAGGAAAAAGGCACCGACGTTGACAGACATTTCCTTGACTATACATCCTGGTACACGGACTGGCATAGCAGGGTTGAACGGCTCCGGCAAGACGACGCTCGTCTCATTGATTGCGGGCAGTCTGGTGCCAACATCCGGATCGATAACGCGGCATGCGAGAGCCAAGTTCGGTCGGTTCTCTCAGCAGTCAGTCGAAGAGATTACAGCGATTGCTTCATCCGACCCAAAGTTGACAGCGCTGCGGCATGTGATGGAAGCTGACGGGGCCGAGATGGAAGAGAAAGCAGCACGACAGATATTGAGTAGCCTGGGGCTGCACGGTCATACCGTGTCTGACGTTCCGCTCGCTCTGCTCTCAGGCGGCCAGAAAGTCAGGGTTGCGTTAGCGAAGCTGCTGTGGCCGCCGCCCCAGCTGCTGATTTTGGATGAAGTGACCACGCATCTAGATGGTGACACGATCCAGAGTCTCGTTCTCGCGCTGAAGGAATACGATGGGGCGCTGCTTGTCATCACTCACGACAGGTTCTTTATGAGGTACGTTCTCTTCCCCACTCGTCGAGCGATTCGTCCCGTGGCCGAGCACGGAGCGCTCGAGCACCCGTAAAGCCACCGTCGAAAACAGGAACGATAGACTTTGACCAAGACGCCTTTAGACTAATGGAAGGACAGAACCGTGGTTGAGGGAGAGTCGCCATACAAGCTAGCGCCAGGGGTTCGTGGCGAAGACGAGGCTGACGAAAGTGAGTCGGAAGGAGATGAGGTAGGGGTAGGTCCGGGAACGGTGTGCTGGCTCACGAAGGGGCAGCTTAAGAAGCTCGAGGGCGGTATGGAGCAATACGCTGAGCTGGCAGCACGCACGGCGGCGAGACTGGGCAAGTCGGTGAGCGCGGGATAATTGCTAGACGGCGGAGAAAACGATAGGCGATGCTGTGTTGTTGGTGATGGTCTAAGGCGGTGTCGCGTTCCTGAGAGGCTCAAGCGTCGGCTTCTCTAGCGCACCCGCGGGCTGCACAAATGACTCTGCGCCGCGAGCGTGCAAATCGCAGGGGGATTGGGGCTCTGGACGGCGGGACCTCTACCGAAGGACTTAGGGGCTGCAATTTCGTGCCAAGCAAACGAACAATCTCATCTGTCGCGTCGCTCCTTTCGCGTGGGTGCATCGACCGTCTTTTCATCAGTATACATTCTTAATCTCTTCTCCTGTTTGTCTGTTTACGCCGCGGGAAACATGCGGTAACGGAGTGAGTACAGCACATGCAGGCCGCGCTTGAAACGGACGCACAAGCTCGAACTGAAGCTTGGGGACCCTGAATGCGTTTGGGACTGGCATCATGGGCGAAGCTGACATTGGCACCCCGCGCTCGACCGCCGACCCGCCGCTGCTGAAGGCGCCGAAGGACAAGAACTGCCCCTTCTGCGGCCAGGCCTTCACCTCGAGCTCGCTGGGACGCCATCTGGACCTGTACATCCGACCGAAGAACCCGAAGGCAGCCGATGGCATTCACATCGTCGACGAGATCAGGAAGCTGCGCGGCGGCATCACGAGGCGGCAGGCAAAGGGCAGCATCTCGAGGAAGGGGGAGGACAGCGGCGACTGCACGCCGGTGGACAACAAACACAGCGTGGCCAGCGAAGGGTCGTCGACATTGGTGCAGAGCCCCGAAGATGACGACGAGGGGCTGGGCATCGATATGGGGAAGACGAGGGGCCAGTTCAAGGACGTGAGCTGGGGCTGCAGCAACCGGCAGCTGTCACAGCGACTGGGCACGAAGGCGCCAGAGACGCGGCGTGATGCATCGCGGCAGATGCGCAAGCAGGAGCTGGACCAGCGGCAGAGGCATGCCGACGACCTGGAGACGGCAAAGGCGGCAGAGCTGGCGCTGAGGGAGCTGCTGAAGAGCGTGCGAGAGGCGAAGTGAGTGCTCATGTCCCAAGTCCCAAGTCCCAAGTCCCAAATCCCATATCCCATGTCCCATGTCCCATGCTTCCTGGCCCCCTTTGCCCCATCACACTCATCACACTACTCACACCCCGCAGTGTCAAAGCAACCGGATGCGGCCTGTTCGACTTCGACCCTTACACGCTCAACTTCCCCTCGCTGTGTCTGCACATCCTGCCGGCCCCCTCCACCCTTTTCGCGTCCCAGCCGTTCCCCACCGCCGACTCATGGTCCATCGCGCCGCCCGGCCAGAAGCAGCTCGACGCTCTCAATCGCTGCGTGCGTGAGCGCCTGCTGGCCCACCAGCGCCAGCGCCAGATCAACCAGGTCTACCCAGCCGCTGGCCACTCGGACCCCGCCTCTGCTGCCAACTCGCCACTGCCCACGCCGCCGCTGTTCGACCCCGACCCACAGAAGCTCTTCAACCACATTGCAGACGCCTTCAACCACTGGACGCACCAGTCCGACCAGACGCGTCAGGAGTACTGGCAGATCGAGATCCTCCGCTGCTATGCCCGAGCAAACGACTCGCGCAGGGAGACGGAGGTGCAGCTGGAGAACGCGCGCAGGGAGATCGAGTACCTCAAGGCCAACAGGTGGACCTCTGGAGCCCCTGATCTCTCGCCTGTCAGCATCACGCTGGGCGCGGATACGGCCAAGGAGCTGGGCAAGCAAGGCATGGACTTCCGCAACTGGGACTTTGACCGCCTGACCGACAAGTGGCGAGCTGTGGTCCGAGAGAACAGGTCTGCGTCGTCAGGCATGGCGGCGCAGAAGCAGTTGCCGGACTCGAGAAGCTGCTCTATGGCCAGCCTACCTCCCCACCCTTTCGCTGCGGTGAGCAGGCCCAGTCAGAGCAGCCCCATGAAGATGGACACAGGCATGCCCTTCTCTGCGCCAGCGACCGTGAATGGCGAGAGTGACCAGGTCGATGCTGAGGGCGATGACGATGATGAGGACCTCGAACTTGACTCCAGCGGACTGCAGGTTCAAGACGACGAGGCCAAGTTTCAGCAGCATCCTCAACCTCCCCTCTCGATGCCACAACACCATGGTCTGCCACTCCAGCCAACACCCATACATCCCTCACAACAGCTTCACTCGCACATGCAAGCCCCGATGCACGTCACGCAGGCCCAAGCTCAAGCCTCGATACAGGCTCATGCACACGCTCAAGTGCAGGCACAGGCACACGCACAGGCTCAAGCATGGGCCGCAGCTCGCCAGCACATGAACCAGTCGCGGAACCAGAACTACAGCCCACACCACCAACAACAAATATCTCCGCACCCTCAGCATACCCAGCATATGGGGTCCGCCACGAACAGTCGCCGACCGTCCGTGGTCATGATGGATCCTCATGTCATGAATACAAGCGGCATGACTGGTCCAATGGGCATGCCAACCGGTATGGAAGGCATTGAAGGCCATCAAGACCAGTACCTCAGGATGGACATCGGTCCTATCGCCGGCTTCGTTGGTTCGAACGACGGCGGCGTCTCGATGGGCACATGATCCATCCCACTTTCAACGGCCATCCGCAAGGTCGTGAAGCGTACAGTGGCGCTACGACGGAACGCGGCTCTGGCGCAGTTATAATCTCGCGCAGCTTTTCGCAACCTTTCCTTGCGCCTACCACCGTCGATCTACCTTTGTTTGGATACCCATATACCCAGATCTGCTATCAGCATCGCCACACTGGCCTCTGCGCAAAGTAAGCCTCGACATATATACTACACCTAATTAATATTACTCTCCTATCGTTGTTTCATTTCTCCACTATACCCCAGGCCACAGCGGCTGCTTTCGTAGAATCTTCGGACCTTCGTTGGATGTTTGTATGGGAGGACCTTCTGTTACGGCTTGTTGGAAGTATCGTTTGTCATCTGCTTTTCCTTTGTACTTGGCGTAGCTTCGCAAAGCACGTTCCCATGTTGCGCAATAGCAACGCATCGTCATGCACCTTCATATCGTATCGCAATATTACTAGCATCAAATATCTATCATCTCCGATTACGAGCGTGCTGGCTTTCGCGCAACGCAAATAATATCGCGTAACAAGCTCACACACATCGAGATTGACGTCTGCGATGAATCACATTTCGATTTTTTGACAGGGTTCCCGACGTCTGTCAGCAACACTCGACCTCCCGCAAAACCATGCCAGTACCTCCCAGTCACCATGCTTGTCTCCAAGGATCAGCCCAGAAAGTCAAAACAATTTTTCATCATGAACTCAGTTTCGGCCTCTCTTGGACTTGGTCGCACGCAGCAATTTCAGTAGTTGCGAACGTCGTTCGTACGCCTCACTGGTGATTACAGTGATGGCCAATGCTAATACTGATATACCACAAAGTGAGTTGACGAGAAGTCCACTGAATGATCCAGCATCGCCGGGCGGGCTTAATTGCTACTTCTTGTCGAACAGCAAACAGCGAACAGCGCACGACACAACGACGTTCACTGCAACCTCAACATGTAGTGTCGAGGCTTGAGCGCCTCAACCACGCAAAGTGATCGAGTCGCTACACCGTCTCAGGCAGTGTAGGAGCAGTCAGCAATACCATTGGCGTATTGCTGTCTTATGGTTAGTGTCTCACCAATGGGTACCACAACGTATGCTGACCACAATCAAGCATCGAGAATAATTTCCCTATGTTCAGCTCCAGCAGTTGCTGTTGCTATATCTGTTCACACAATCTTTGCACTACATAGCAACTACTCCCAGCTATCAAGTCACAGATACGCGATCCCCATTGGCATCGCTGTAGCTAAACATTCGCACCAGTGCTCAGAAAGCTCGACGCGATGAGACGCTACTGATGCTACTTGCACACATCAGAAGTGGCGGAACTGATAATCATTGCGTTGATATGCATATGCACAACGATCTTCTAAAACCGCATACCCCGAAAATTCGAGAATGCTGTGTTGCTGCGCGGTGGTGCTTTGCCTACTTCTTGTTGCTGGGCGCTAGCGCAGGGTAAGACGACCGGAACCTTACCATTTCACCACTGTAACCCACACTTGTCCTAAACTTTCCTGTTCGGGCATAATCACATTCCTTCTGAATACCACAACAAACAAAACCGATCGTGTGGGAATTGATCGCGATCTAGCCTTACGCACGTGGTGAACGTTACCACCTCAATGGCACTCTGCAATCCTGAGTTTCCATCGCCGAGTCTTTCGCTGCTTTTGGGCAGATCCTTGGATGCATACAGCCGACACGCAAAGATTCGAGTTTAGTTGAATCACAGCAACATCCGCACTATCGCCGAACCATAGGCGCCTCGGCCTTCCAGAACCGCATCTCGAATTGTAACGTCATGTAGTTGTTGCCATGCACCCTGATCCAAACTTCTTATCCTGACGTCCCTTGCCCGACGAGTAAGTTTGTGGTTCGGCAAACATGGGAGTGCGCAATGCAACGTCTCACACCCTCATCAAGTTTGGCCTGCAGGATTCTGACAGCGATGGAAAAACTCGTACTCGGCCGATGCCGGCGGGCGTGGAGAAAAAGGTGCGAGCGCCTGTGGGATCCTTTTGTGGGTCGAAACAGGGTGGAGCAGAACTTGCAAAGGGTCTGTTCTACACGCTCGCTTTGTTCGGGCCGAGGACCGGCTTGCAGAATGGTGGGACTGGGGAAGTTTGACGACGGCCGCATCCCTCAATTCTGTGCTCTTGCGCCGAGACCTTCCAACGAACAAGCTGAACATGCTCCAAAACACTCCAATTGCTGCACGACTTGAACCCGTGCCTTGGGCAGCGCGTGACCTTGCAAGAAGTAGGGGTAGGCCCGTGGCCTGCTTTGAGTAATGTCCGTAATAAGGTGTGGTCTGTGGTAGTCCTGGTGAGGGAAATGATTTGCGTGTAGGAGTGCACGTTTGGTGCTTGGGGCAGGGCGAGGTTCTGCTGTGGGTTGGAGGAATTAAGTGGGATCGCCAGCCTTGCTCAGGGAAATGAGATGGTCTGCTTGTGGAAGGTGGTGTGCGCGCTTAACAAACGCTGCTATTGAACGTGGATCGTGAAGTTCTTGTTTAGTGGACTGGATGGACTGGGTGGCACGATGCAAAAGGGGCAATATTGTAATGCGAACATCTTCATTTTCTCGCTATCTGACCAGTAACGTTGTTGCGCTCAATTGCGCAGCGCGTGCTGGTTGTTTCTCGATTCATGAGTTTCGAGATTTCGCACCTCCCACCATCTCAAATCCAACAAAGTCCACCAAACAAAACAAAATGTAATCCAAGTAGATACTGGAGAACAAGGGGGTATTCCGTCAAAAAAGGGTATCACCAAACTCCAGCTCCACCAGAGAAAAGGCGCGGTCGTGAGTGACAGGCTGCGTGAAGTGAAGGAGGAACCTGCAAGCAGGCCGTGTTTCATCGCCTCCGTGATCTCGAAAGTACTCCGTCGCGGGTGCGAAGCAGCGTCTTTGTTGCGCGTGTAAACGTAAAGGGGGGTGTTGGTCGAACGACCAGTGTTGTTGTGAAAGGAAGGTGTATATAGACCTCAACAAAAGACCAAGGGCATCGCAATTCGTCAATCGTTTCAAACAAATGAGAATGTGATTACAATGGCAGTAGATAGTTTCGGCCCAAGTTGGGAACGTGTGTGCAACAGAAGCGAAGGTAAGGGGTAGGGCAAGTTGCTAAGAGAAAGAAGTGAAGGTCGTGACTCGTGAAAGCACCCGGCGTTGCCTGGCCAGCACTTGGAGTGTAGACAAAGCCAAGTGGTGGGTTTAGCAGTGCGGAGATGCATCTCACAGGACGAGGTAGCCAATACCGGCGGCGAGCGCAACGACGAGCGCGTTTGCGTTCAGGCTGGATGCTGCGCCGGTGAACTCGGGGGTCAAGGGCTTGGTTGCGCTGCCGGTGGGCTTGATGGCAGTGCCGTTGGTGCCGTAGGAGCCAGTGACGGAGGGTGCGGCGTAGGCGGAGATGGTGCTGGTCTGGTTGGCAACAGCGCCGGAGGGAGAGCCAGACAAGGTGACAGTGTTGACGCGGTAGATAGTCGAGGTGAGGTAGACGGTAGCGTCGTAGGACTCAGTCTCAGCAGCGAAGACGGATGCGGCAAGCGCGAAGAGGAAGACGATGACGGCCTGGAATGAGCGCATTGTGATTGACGTTGTTGAGATGGTAGATGGTGAGTTTGGTGTTGATATCAAGTCGTTGCGACTGGAATGCTTTCAGATGAAAGTGATGTTCTGAGACAGGTCTCGTGGACGATATATGTTGTCTTAGCGGGTTGTTGGTTGTTGATGTTGAGCAAAAGCAGGATGCGGCGGCAGTGATGTTATAGTGGTGAGTGACAGTGGTGTTGTTGGCAATGAGCGTGAGTGCAAGGCACAGCCTGACGGCGAAGTGTAATGTGTTTTGAGAGAGTGGAGGCGTTTGGAGTAAAACAAAGGTGCGAGGAAGGCGGGCGTAAGTTAAGGGAAATAGCGACCCGCCCGCGCCAAAATGCTCATTTCACGCAGCGGCGCACGCTAACGCAGATCAGGATGGCTTGAGTTGGCCAAGCAAACACCGGCTGTGACTGACAAGAACCCAGTCTAGCCGGTCCGATCTGCTGCGGGCGCACGACAAATCCTCTGCACGCTGCACGCTGGAATCTCCCCGGCCCAACCTTGCGCTGCTCTTACGTCGCTGTGCATACGGACAGCGTGACCTCATCTCGCCAACATTCAGCGCAGTATCCAGGACAACGTTGGAATGCGCAATCGTCTCCTCACTAACCCAGCAGCCAGGGACCCTGTTCCATCCCTACCGCTCATCAACGCTCTACATCCCCAGCTCTCACCCCAACCGTTGCACCATCACACCTGTGCTCAAGGCACTGAAACATTGGTGACCTGAGAGGCCTTAGACACGGCCGCGGCCACGACCTCGTCAACATCGTGGGACTGCTACGTTAGCCAGTGATTCTCGTTCGACGTGGCATCGTGGAACGCTGTCCGTCGCGGTGCCTGGCCCTGTTCTCACGGCCGCAGGTACAGCCGCGGGACGACAGGGCGTGCAGCCAATCAGCGCGCGGTGCCTGAAATCCATGCGACGGTGAGCGGCAACCAACGTGGTCTTGCGCTTCGTGTCGTGCTCTTTGTCTGAGCCACTCAGGTACGCCGGCTGATCTTTCAACATTGGATTCTCGTAACATCAGTTGTGCAGAAGGTTCTCAATTCCTCGAGACAAGGAAGAATGAGCTAAGGGCTCGGTACAGTTGACTCTGCGATTGACGTTGAGCTGTTGAGACTCCGCACCAGGCTATGAGGTAGGCTCGCGGTAGGCTTGCCGACCCCACTGCTTTTACAGGCTCCACCGCGTAGACTTGCGCTGCTTTTCGTGGAGGCAATGGCCAAACCGGCAGTGTTTAGGGTGGCATCGCATCACTTTCATCGACTGAGCCCTGAGATGCGCTGCTTTTTCGGTACACTTCTCCACATACATGGCAGTGGACTGCATCACTATCGCGGCGCTGGGACCAAGAGTATGGAGTACGTACTCTAGCAGTGCTTTAGGTACACCAGGATCTCACAGTATCATGCTCCAAACTACTCGTCCTCAACATTGCGCACCATGCCCAACGTCGCCGAGGGGAAGCGAGAAATTTACCAACAGTCAGATCCAACATGCGCCAGACTTTGCGCTCAGCGTGCGATTGGCCAGTTAGTGCGGTTAACTTAAAGGCCCTTACCATACAGTAGTACACCCGCTGTTCGGCAACGTGAAAGCAGTGGCAAGCCAGAGAAGGGCACCGGTCAGGACAAGGTCGCGTGCGCATGCCCGTGTCTGCAAGGCCTCTGGGAATCACAGTAAGGGCTTTGAGACCTCCCCCATGGCGGTCAACCTCGATCGCAAAAGCCCTCGTCAGTCGCAAGCAGGACCGATCAACTGGTTGAATCTCAGCAAGGAAACATCCGGCACTCGCAAGACAAGTTCTGCGCAGGCTTTGCGCTCGCTCGCTCATTGGCCAGGCGTAGACTGGTGTGAAAAGGCCCTTACTGACCTTCTCCCGCTCCCGCAGTCCCACACCACCCTCACCGTTCACGTCTTGCCAACCACGAGAACTGAGAACGCGCAAGCAGTGGCAAGCAAGGCACAAAGAAAGTCGCAGTGACGAATCCACAGCCAAGCGCAGACTTTTTGCAAGTTTTGAGAAGATGTGAAAAGACTCATTCGGACCTGCAGTAGGACCCGCTTCGGGGTGATCTTCTGTGCAGTAGCGTATCCTTCAACATCACCGTCAGGCAGCGACAACTCACATGTTCTTCAAGATCGACTTGGCCGTGATTCTCCCGTAGTAGCTTACACCCCGCCACCAAGATCTTGCAGTAGCGTACGCTGCCAGCGATGAAGAATGGCGAGAATCTCATTGGGCGTGTGTGAGAACTAGAAATTTCTTCCGTGACAACTCACAAGATTGAAGAATCCTAAAATAGGATGTGAGGGCTGACGAATGACGGCGTCCTGCGTGGTCGAGACAGAAATTACCATTATTCCAGCCGCTCTCATTGGCTTCATCTCCTTGCTTGCGACAATCAGTAGGGTTATTGATTGTCCTTGCTTATTTGTCTCACTCTCAAGCGCTTCCCGGTATGCCAATCGACAAGCCTTAGTATCATCCCTCCTTTTCAGTCTCGTACACTCATACCGAACAATTCGATACTTTTGCGAATGATTGATGCTTTCTTGTTGCGTCCTCGATCATGGCGGAGATGACCAACCCAAGATTGATGTGTTCCAGCCACGAAGGAGATCCTAACCGCGCCGCATCGGTGCCCTGACATCGGTGCCTCATCAAACACTACCTGTGTACGCAACCGGCGTAACTCCGCAGCCACTATCCACATCCACTGTTACCGGGGGCGCGTACGTCTCCATTAAAAAAATTCGTCTACAACCAGAATCGACCCAACTTTACAATGGTCACTATGTCTCTGCCGAGGTGGATGGAAGATCAAACAAGGACCGAGACTGGTATGCATCTATCTATAAACGCGCTTATACGGCACCGCACAAGGTTGGAGAAAATGAGGTCATCTTCCACCCAACCAACCCTTTATCACACCTGATCAGAGCGAGAGGGAGGACTGGGCGATCGCGCGATTGGCGCGCGAACGGGCAAACTATACCGGCATCTATACCAGCATCTCTCGGGTGGGCAAGGGGGAAGGGGAAGAGGAGGGGGAGTGGTGTGAGGGGATCGCAAGATGTACGCAGACACATCCTGGCAACGGCGGTCTAGTGGTAGAGAGACAGCCCAGGGCCGTCGAAGGGAGTGATGCTGGCGGCGATGAAAGTCCGGGTGGTACATGGGAGGCAGAGTGCTCAGGACAAGCTCAAGTTGGCGCTGTATGTCCGCTGGGCGCTGCAGTTACTGTCCGCGCTCACTTTCCTGCATACTCGCAGGATGCTCGATCGCGCGTTCAACGCGCAGTCCGTTGGGACACGGTCGGATTACCCTCCCCCTGCATACAACAAGACCCCTTCTACTCGTCCGCCTTCACATGGCGTCTCGTGACCAACTGCCATACGAAAGAGGATCCCAGGCGCAGAGGCGTAGAACGAGAGCTAGTCTCATACATCGTCTCACCAGAAGAAGGAAAGCATTTTACAGCTAAAGAGTAGTATAAAGCGCGGGCGTTTCAGGAGTTTGGAGGATGAGAGACTAGGGAGGGTGTTGGTGAGGGCTTGGAAGCGCGGGTATGGGAGTGCGGCGGAGATCGCGCGAGCTACCAAAATCATTGCGGCGAAATGAGGAATCAACGTGACTGCGGACGAAGTGGACATTGTAAGGTCTTGGAAAGATGGGTTTGAGGTTATGGAGGGGGAAGGCAGGAATGGCAGACGAGGGGTGAGGTTCAAAGAGGGTAGGGGTGAGGTGGTGGCTGAGACGACGCTGGATGAAGATAATGAGGGAAGGGTTTGAGTGACGCCTCATGAATCTGTGAGGAGCCTAATCCGTGTGCGTTGTCCAAAGTCGTCGAAAAGAATACTTGATTACATGGTTCGTGCATAGTTCGTTGTGGTCAAGAATGAAATTACCATTACTCCAGTCAATGAGCCAAGTAGGCTTGGCTCTATTGGCTCCCAGTCCCTTATGCGCCCCCTCATTATCGTATTTTGCGCAGCTTGGCGCACGCCAATTGGCATGCCCTGGTATCGTCTCTCCTCTCCAAGCCTCGTACATATATGTGTTGTACAGTCTTATACCAGTCCGAGTGATAGATGCTCGCCCTGCTATGCTTACGAGCGCAAAAGATGGATGCGAAGAATGTCGCAACCAGGCATGCGTAGACCGAGTCATCAGTGGACTGTCCACGGCGAGTTGCGCCTGTTGCGGAGACCGCGATTGTGTGAGAACGCCTTGTTGTTCACGTCGACGATCCAGGCCGGATGTCGTGGCATCTCGAGACGATGTGCCGGTTCTGAAGCAGCCTTCGAAAGTATGTTCGTGATGTTCCGCCAATGCCGTGTCGATGCCTGAGCCGTCGTGGGATCGTGTTGATGTTTCGAGTGTCAGCGTTTGAGTCGACCTCATTCACCACCCACAATCTCCGCACTATCCCACATCCTGCGACACAACTCCTCCGCCTCATTCCGCGGCCTCTCCTCCAAACTCCTTCTCCCCTCCTCCTCGTCCTCCCCACCCTGCTCAAAACTCGTCGCACTCCTCCGACTCCTCGCGCCGTCCGTCTCAACACCATTCTCGTTGATACTACTACTCAGCGTACTCACGCCCAAGCTACTGCTCTCGTTCGTGCTCGCCGGCTTTGTGGCGCGCAGCCTGCGCAGCATGCCGGGCATCTGCTGGACCCGGATTATGCTGTCGGAGAGCGGGTTGCGGTAGCGCTGGACGACTCTGTATTCAATGGCGACGTGGTTGAATTGCTGTTGCAGACGCGGGTCGAGACGGCCCTCGCCGGGGTAGGAGAGCCCGATGTTGTGGAAGGAGGGGCCGCCGGTGCGGAGAATAGCGGGGACGGGCGCGTGCGGTTCGATGGCGGAGGCGGCGCGCTGCAGGAGCAGTTTGTTTTGTGTCCTGTTGTTGATGGAGGGGAAGAGGTTGGGTGTCGTTGTGCCGGATTTGACGGATTGCGGGCGCGTGGGTGTGTCTGCGTTTTCGCCATCCTCTGCGTCGCCGAAGCTGGGCATGCTCTTGTTGCGCTTGCTCGCGTCGAGATCGCCCTCGTCTTTGGAGACGCGGCGGCCGGGCATGCAGCTGCCATCGCGCGGGGTGCCTGCTGAGCCGTCGCCGTCCATGAAGCGCGACACGAGGTCCCGCCCTGGGGTGTCGACGAGGGTACTGCCCACGCTGGTGCTGAGCTGATGGCCGCGGTCTGCTGTGGAGGCGACGGTTGCTGATACTGACGACGATTGCGGGGCGACCACGGCGTGAGAGGCGTTGCGCTGGAGCAGGCGGGAGGTAATCAGATCGGCGTCTGGCGGTCGCGAGTGGTGGGACGAGGCTGCTCTGTTCGTCTGCGGAGGCGCGCGCGCGCGTTCGGGCAGCGTGTAGGTAGTCCGTGTCTGTGGTGGCTCAGCGGCGGGCGCTGGCGAGGTGTCTCCTGCATTCGCCCGCGTGTTGCTCTCTGTCGCGTCGTCGACTACCCGCTGTGCCTCCGCTGCGACCGAGTTGGAGCGCGTGTTCGAGCGTGTTGTGTTGGGCGACTGAGACGCGCTCTCCTCTGTCCATCCCCCTTCTTCCTCGTCGTTCTCGTCGTTGTCGTCCTTCCCGACGTCGAAGTGTACTATAGGGCGCTCCTCGGGTGACGCTTGCCGCGACCTGCTGGGGTTGCCTAGCTTTCCCTTTACCTGCGCGAGGTCCTTGGACGACTTGCCGCCCTTCGCCTTGCCCACCAGATGGCCGCTCGAGTGGTTCTTGCGCAGGCCCGCGTGCGCGTGTGCCTGCGGGTTGTGTCTCATGATGGCGCCCGACGAGGCATTGCGCTTGAAGCCGGGGCGCGGGCTGCTGGGCGCTGATATGGAGGTGCCCGACTGCGAGCGGCGGTGGTGACGTCCGCTGTCCTCGGTGGCTTGCGGCTGCTGGGCGGCTTTGGCGAACTTGCCTAGGTTCTTGCCTGTCGAGGTCGTCCGCTGCATGCGCCCGCCCGCGACATGGCGGTGGTTCACCTTGTACTGCGCCGGCCGGTGGTGCCCTTTCTCCGACGGGCTCTGCGATATGTGCGACTGGCTGCTCGACTGCCTCGTCATGGGCGCTGGCCGCTTGGGCCGCGACGGAGCAGCCTCGTCGGTCGAGGCCATGCTGGATTCGGCCATGCGGCTGCACGCAGGCTGTAAGCAATAGCGAGGATGATAGGCGTCCCCTTGGCTGGTCGTGTCGTTGCGTGTCAACCGCTCGTCGGCCGGGTGTAGAGCTGCGTGCGTCAGAGCTGCGTGCGTCAGAGCTGCCGGCACTGACTATAGGTACTTCAGCGGGCACCCATGGGGCTCAATTGCGTGCGTTGGTCCGTTGCAGGTGGTACGGCGTCTGCCACGTTGGGGTCCAATAAAATGAGGCTGTTATATCATGGGCGTCGCCAAACCAACAGAAGGAGCAACGCGGTTCGTCGGCCAGCTCGGCTACGCTGAAAGCAGCTCTCGGTGAGCGGGCCGTGCAACGTCACATACCGGCTGGGCATCGTCTCTCCACTCTCACTTCATCTCGTTCACCTTCGAAAGGAGTGTCTATTTGCTATGCTATCTGCGAAAGTATATGGCAGTTATCTGCGTCTTTGCTGCTCTGAATATGCCTGCGTGTTCTCCTAGTCGTCGTCTTAATGCCATGTAGATGCCATCTAACGGCACCGTAAGTATGCTCCTGTATTACGTGTCCTGATACTCTTTTATCGCGTGGTCATATCTCGTGTCTTCGTGTCGTAGTCTCTAGTCCTTCTTCTCTGGGCCTCACATCTATATGTCACAGCTCGCTCACTCGTTCTGGAACCTCTTGCGGAGCTCCTTCACCCTTCCTCTCACCCCACGGCTCCTCATGGCTGCTCGCTGCTGACTGATCTGCCTCTGAGCGGGACTCATTCCATCCACGCACCCAAAAGAAGACGTTGTCATGATGGAGGCAGTACGTGAGCGGTACGATGGTGGAGGGCGTCCAGAGGAGTACGTCGGCGCTTCGGAAAGGTCGCCCATCGAGTCGTCTCGGCTGAGATGCGCACCAGCGGTCGAAGGGCGGGTGCCCTCCCCGCTCCTTGTAGTCTGTCTGAGCAGTGTGTTCGTGCGTCGTTCCCCAAGTCCCTCGATACCGCTGTATGCTACGCTCGTCCGTGTGCTGCCAAGGACTGGGAGTTCGAACGAGTACTGGCCGGCTGACAGCAGTCCTTGCGCCTCAGTGGGCGTCTTCGAGATCGATGTCCGCGTAGAAGCAAGAAAGGATCTGGATCGCGTCAAGAGCTTGGGCGGGGCCGCCTGCTGTGTCTGGTCATAGGGAATCGCCAGTAGTGGCATCGAGTTCGAGCGTCGATTGATCTGCTTGCGAGCGACAATGCGCTGGGACGTGGTGCGCAAGAGTGAGGGCATTTTGGCTTGCATCTTTTTTGCGCGGCGACAGAATGACTTCACCTGCTGGCTGGAAGGTGTCAAAGGCCGATTGAGGCCAGCCTCGCGAACGATTGGAATGGCGTACTGGACGTCGGTAGAGGTTGTTGTAGGAATCGAGGAAGCTGACCTCCAGTATGGCAGTCCACCCATTAGTGGCGGAGGTGGCACGCTCATGCTTGCATCTAGCCATGCGTTGACATCTCTAATAACGCCTGAGTCTGGCCGAGGTGGGCGAGGTGGTGGGTGGATTGCTAGGCGCGGTGAAGGTAGCTCGATGTTAATGGGTATCTGCGGTACTGGCGGTACTGTTTCTGGTGTCACCCTTCCACTTGTGGGTGCAGTTTGTGGTCGCTTGAGCGAGAGCTTCCTCTTCATTCCACCATCACTATCGCCCCTCAGCAGTTGTCGCGATGCTGGCTTCCAGAGCCGCCGGTGCAGCCATTTCTTCGCTGTGCCGTGTTTGCTTGTTGCAGGTAACGTATTGTTGCTAGTCGCTGCTAGCATTGTGGCTGTTGCTTCTCTGAATATGGCGTTGAGGTATGCTTGCAGGTAAACGTGTTGTGGCAGGAGTGGAGAAGGAAAGGTGCTGCGCAACGTGGAAAATCAATGGTATAGGGCAGAAGTGCCAGAGGACTAGCATCTAAAGAAAGTGTAGGTGAGCTAGGTAGAATGGTGGGAAGTCGCAGGGTGGGAGAGATCGTTGCAGCCTCAAGCTTGCTCAGCTGGCAGTCACGTCAACTTGGGCAGGCGCACGCGACACCCCACACACAGATTTCACCTCACCGCAAGCATGGTAGTCGTTCGAAACGTGAAACATCATGGTAAGTTTGCAACTGCAGTTACTGGATTTTCATGAGCTACAAGAGTGATTGTACCTAGTACCCAGGAACAACCGCAGGCTGCACACTCTCCAACGTCGGCACAACAGGATTGATCAACCCCTCTTCATCGAAGTACACCTTGTCGATGGTCGTCTCCCTCATCGTGCCGTTACCATTAGGAATGGCAAAGCGGTGGTAGGCAATGTACCAATCGTCAGTACCAGGTACTTGAATGATGGAGCTGTGTCCTGTCGCCAATATTCCCTTCGACTCATCCTTCTGCAGAATGACACCGTGGTACGTCCATGGCCCTTCAACGCTATCACTCGTGGCATATCCCACGCGGTAATCCTCAGACCGCGTGTCGTCGATGGAGTATGTCAAGTGAAAGATACCCTCGCGGTAGTTGAGGAAGATTCCCTCGCGGAAGTCTGTCAGCCCGGTAATGGCGCGCAGAGTCCCGTTCTTGAAGGAGAGCATGTCGTCCTCAAACTCTGCAAACAGTGGTACCCCGTTGCCCCAGAAGAGGTAGTACTTCCCTGTCGTAGGATCCTGGAACGCCGCAGGATCAATGGCTTGGTTCGTCTTGAGTGCTTCGTTGTTCAGGATGAATGCTTTGGGCTGCGCGGTGAATTGTCCACTGGGTGAGTCTGCGACCGCGACGCCGATGGTTTTGGTGTTGTATTCGGCGTTTTGACCCGAGAAGTAGAAGTAGAACTTGCCCTCGCGCTCGATGATGGTCGGGGCCCAGGCGTTGCCGATGGCCCAGGGCACGTTGCCGGATGTGCCGTTGAGGGTGAGGAAGGGTGTCTCGGTGCGCGTCCAGGAGACGAGGTCAGACGAGGACCAGACGAAGAACTGGTTGCCGCCCCAGCCGGGAGTTCCGTCGGTGGTGGCGTAGATGTAGTAGGTCTTGCCGAAGACGGCGATGTTGGGGTCTGCGTAGTAGCCGGGGAGAACGGGACTGTCTCGCGCGGCGATGCGGGTGCTTCTGCGCTCTTTCTTTGCGACAGTCGCGGTGGTGGATGTTAGGGATGCGAGTTCTGCAGCGGTTACGTGGATGACTGTGCCATGGCGGGGGCTCTTGGGTAGTGTGTATGAGCTCGATACCTTCCAGCTTGGCTTCGCAATGTCGGCAGTCTCGAGTGGGATATATCCACGGCCGGTGTACTCATCGACGAACAGGTAGAACTTTTCGCCGTTGACATCGCCTGGGTTTGACTTGAAGACTGTCGGACCCTCGACATTGCTGGTTCCCGCATTCTTGCCGATGCAAGCAGCATCCTGTGTCCACGAGTCTAAGGTAGCACGGAGTGAAGAAGAGTGCTCCTGGATGATGTCGGAGCAACCTGTGCCGGAGGCTCCTTCATCCTTGGTGAAGCGGTAAAAGGTGTCGCCATTCTGGATAACAGTCGAGTCGATGCGTGACATACCAGCATCTTGCCAGATCTGAGGCTCACTGAAGGTAACGAAGTCCTTCGTCGTGGCGTACAGCATCCGGTGGTACGTGGTTCCGGTGTGGTTTGTGTCGCTTTCTTCGTACAGCGAGGAAGCCCAAAAGACAACGTAAGCCTCAATCGTGGGATCGTAGTATGCCTCGGGCGCCCAGGTGTTGCCGGCTGTGTCAGGCGAGACCTTGACATGTCGCTGAGCTGACCAAGTCTGGAGATCGCTCGACTCCCAGATCTCCAGGTACAAGCTACCTTTACGGACAGCGTCCCCCCATGATGTACCAGATCCAATGCTCAGGTCTGTTGCAATGAGGAAGAACTTGTCCCCATCAGGTGAACGGATAAGAAAGGGATCGCGCAACCCCTTCGTGCCCAGCGTTGAGGTGATGATCGGTTGGCCGTTGTTCAACTCTTTCCAGCTAAGCGCATTGTTGCCATTACTGGCTGCTAGGTAGATCTGCTCGCCAGCTTTGGTGTTGTTAGTGAAGTAGGCGAAGACATAGCCTTCGAATGAACCAAGCTGCGCTGCTTGGTCTCGTACTTCGATGGGGCTGGCTTGAGCTACAAGAGCCGCAGCGCAGGCAGGGAAGATTGCTGCGATTAGACGCATAGTCAGAGTAGAACCTAGTTGCAGGAACTTGCTAAAGGGAAGTTTGGACGTAGGATCCGCTCATCATATACCAGTCGCTAGGTCTGTTGCTGGGCATGAGTGATCAGTCGCGCCGACAAACCCAAGGAATGACTGCCTGAACAGGCAACTGGCGAGGCTTTCAATCTAAGTTTACATCGTGGCACGTGGCCTGCAAGGGAAAGTCCACGAATGCAAGAACGAGGTTGGTGATCATCACGAATGATGACGCAACTTCCTCGGGAATTGAGCTGAACGTGTTGCGGGGTATACGTTACTCGGCAGCGGCGCCGACGTTGATGTTGAAGTCGTGCTCCGCGCGGAGGCTCTTTTCTGCGGAGACCGGAGAAGTTGGGGAAGATCCTTGACAAATTAGCCGAACGGGTGGTTGTTGCCAAAAAGATGGTGTTTAGTCGGTGCAATGTTAGCCGAATGCAAGGCTGATGCTCAGATGATCATGTGACGGTCACCAAGTCGTACCTGCCAAAAAACACCATGCGATGCGTACTAGTGTGCAGACGATCAGTCGTATTGGTGTAAGAAACGTGCATTTGGCACGTTTGCTTTAGTTCCTATTTCCCGATCAACTTGCCCACATATTCGGCTACTGCTAGAATTTTTTCTTCTTGCAACCTCCTGCCCACAATCTGCAGACTGACATGCGCGCCATCGTAGATCTCAGGGTCATCTGTAGTCCTATTAGCTTACTGAAACAGCCGGAAATGATGACAACGAAGTACTTACAGTCATCCTGTATCTCCTGATCCTTCTCATCCACAGGCTTGAAGTCACTGCTCTTGACATCGATAGACTTATCGACATTAGTAACCGGGAACGCAACAGCAGTGTAGTCCAGCGCATTAACCCAGGTCGAGTAGCCATAATACTTGTACTTCGCCTCCCTTGCGGCCGGCCACGGCGCCAATGGCGAGATAACAGCATCCACCGGCCTACCAGTACTCGTCTCCTTCGCAGTGCTATTCCAGTACTCCATATACTCCTTCCTCAGACCGCGCATCGCCACATTCGTCTCAGCAATCTCGGTCGCGGTGAACTCTTTCATCTCGTTCTGGTATAGCGAGACTTGGGTAGCCATCTGTTCACCGGACAACGCGAAAGCATCGCGGACATTGCGTCCGCCATCAAAGACCCAGGGTCTGAAGCCTGTGTCGTTCAGCACTCTATGAGAGGGTGGACTCCAGGTGGTGATTTCGTGGCCTGCGGCTTCGAGTGCTTTTGTCACGAGTTTGATGGCGCGGCGGATAGGTGCTGTTGGAGTGACCACGCCGTCGGTGTGGATGATGCCAAATGCCAACCGCTTTTCTTTAGGGACAGACTCGCCAACGAATTGGAGGAGCTGCTGGATGTGCTCTTCTTCGGCAGATCGCCAGGGGATCTCGTGAACCAGAGGGTCGTAAAGCCATGGCTGCTGTGAAAGAAGAGCTTTCGTGACCAAGCGCAAGGACGATGCAGTGGTGCCGAGGGGGCCAACGACGGAAAGCACGGTGTTTTGGCCGTCCATGGAGTTCGACATACCTTCGTAGGGTAGACGGCCTGTAGATGGGCGAAGACCGTAGAGGCCGTTGAAGGCAGCGGGGACGCGGATCGAGCCGCCTATGTCGGTGCCAAAGCCTACCGGTGAGCCCCGAATGCCAATCAATGCTCCTTCACCACCTGAGCTCCCTCCACTGCTCAAGTTGCGGTTCTTGGGGTTCAACGTGTATCCAATGATGTTGTTCACTGTCTCACCGGCCATAAGGGTATGTGGCACACTCGTCTTGCAATACAAGACCGCACCACTTGCTCGAAGCTCGCGAAGCATCTCACTTTCAAACACCCTCTCTTTGCCGGTGCCTTTCTTACCCTCAAAAGTGTCGATCCAACCCACATAGCCCATGGTCGTCTCGACACCTTTGACATGGAATTGGTCTTTCAGTGAGATGGGAAGGCCATGGAGAGGGCCAACGGGTTCCTTGTGCTTGGCAAAGTATGCATCAAGCTTCTTTGCATCGGCAATAGCTGCATCGAAGAAGACTTCATGGAGGCAGTGAAGCTAGGCATGTTAGTCTGTCGTCCAAAAAGTGATATTTGAAGACGCTACTGAATACCAGTTGGTGTGCAAGCGCTGCTCTGTGGCAGAAAGCACGTGTGACTTTTTCGGCTGACCAGGCCCCTGATGTTGTTTTCTCGACGATCTGATCTGCGCTACTCTCAGTAATCCCCAGTTCTTCTCTAGACAGATATTGCTTGATGTAGTCTGTCACGTCAACCTGCTCTTTTACGGAGGGCACGTTGTCAATACGCCATTCGGCGGGTATGAGAGCGGAAATTGCTTCACGCTTCTTAGCCGCAGCATCTTTCCATGATGTCGTCATGGTCTTAATCTTTGACCCTTGTTACGCAAAAAGTTGTGGGAGGGTGTTGAAAGAAAGAGAAGAACAAACTTGAAAGTGGACAAATGTAGGATCAGGAAGTGGAGAAGTTTGATTGATGTAGCGGCGTGGGCCGCTGTAGAATATTGATAGCTACGGTAAACGATAACGTAGGACTATCGGGTCGATGGAATACTGCACTGAGTTGCTATCTAGTGAGGAGAAGACGACTATATACTGACTCTGGAACATGCTAGTCCAGAATAGTCTAAGCAAGGGTGATAGGGTCTTGTATGGACCGACTAATACCGCAACAATGATAACCGGAGCTTCAGATAGCTATCGGTTGGAGAGGTGGGGTAGTTGGAGCCTATCAGCGTCCAAATCCGCCCTAATAGATTTCGGAACCGTACCCAGATACATGACCTATGGGGTTGATGCCGCAACTGCCGATGGGTGCCGTGAAAGCTGTCAGTGCGCAAAACGGAGCGAAAAAGGCCAAAAACATACAACAGCAGGTATTCGCTAGTGGTCACCCACCTAACTACTAATCCGCCGGTACGTTGCTTAAATAGGGCTGAGCGAACGGGAAGCCTTGTTTTCAACGTCCTGTGGTCGTATGTGGAAGAGGTGTTTTTTTTTATAAAATACATTTGAGTAAGTTGACATGATGGCGCAAGAGTATTAACAGAAGCAAAAAGGCAAAAACATACAACAGCAGGTATTCGCTAGTGGTCACCCACCTAACTACTAATCCGCCGGTACGTTGCTTAAATAGGGCTGAGCGAACGGGAAGCCTTGTTTTCAACGTCCTATGGTCGCATGTGAAAGAAATGCTCTTTTTATAAAATATATTGTACAATCAATACGACTGCGGCTAACAGGGAGAGATGTGGAAAGGACTGCAGGATTGGAATGATTATCCTTCATGCTACAAGGGGGGCAATACATAAGGATATGCCTACGTTGATGTCGTGTAGCTGTCAACATGTAGTCGTGCGACGTAGCAACCAATCAGTAGATAAGCGCTCATTCGGCCGACTGCAAGGAGACACCTCAACCGTGACAGATATTCTCTCTCAAATGACTAAAAGCTATTCAGAAGTATATATTTCTTCTTCGTATAGCCATTAGGAACAGCACTAACTGTAAAGAAGCCAAGCACCGTTTAAACTCGTCCACTTTGTCCATTACTAGCAGGTTTTTGAACAACGGAGACCCTAAAGCAGTGCCTTGAAAGACTGCAGATCAGACGGGAGAACTTGCTGTCTCCTGGTCGTTCATCATTAAAGTCTTTAATCCTACTGTATCCGGTATTGCTGTTATCGCCAAAAATAGACGACAGAAAAACGCAAATTATCCCCGTTCACATGGCACTTGTGGCGCGAATGATATGGAATCCGACGGCGGTTCTGTTTTTGTCTAGCCAGTCAGAACTTATCAGTATTTTAGAGCGAGATACCGTTGTTACATCGCGCTGTTTTGGTGTATTCTATCCTTTCTTCTTATTGTCAGTGTCCGGGAACGTCCCTCAGCCCTATAAAGTGGTTTGGATCTGCCACCAGGGCGCTTTAGGCCTAGCTCCTTCACAGTGAATTCCTCCACACAACAGCTCAGATTCGTAGAAATATAATGACAATGCATCCCAACTGTGCTTGTTGACACTTATGTTATACAATGTGTTGAACCACCTCCATTAAATCTGCTCGCGCCCAAGTTCACCAATGCATAAACAATGTGATTGTATCGTTATTGCTGATGTTCAACGGTTGTCCTTCGTCTTTCCATGATGCGTAGAGTATGCGCTCCTAGGTATAGCTCAATTCCTGCCCCAATCTTCCCAGAGTGTTGTTCATCAGTAACCGATCTCATATATGCACTTCAGAGGACTCTCCACCGTGAGAGTTCTTCCATGTGCCAGCATAATGATGGGTTACTAACTTCAAAGGCAGCTGTTCTTCATCTTCGACTTTGTAGTGGTTCGCTGTTGGAGTTGGTGAACTGTACGCAAAGGAAAGAAGTTGAGGATTGTACTGCAATTGTATTGTATGAAGCTACGAACAGTATATGTAGGTGAGTGGCTGTAAATAACGCTAGTGGGATAAGGTAGCAACCTTGCACCATGAGGTGAAATGCGACAGGGCGTTAGTGCAGGAGAGACCCCAAACCGTGACATTCGCTGATGCGGCAAACGAACGCCCCGGCATGACCAGGACATCTCCTATCAGCTTTGGCTGAAGAATTTCTGACACTTCGTCAGAGGTGACAGTCCTGTTCAAAGTGCGTTCAAGCCTCTTGAATATACTGAACGTCAAGCGTCTTGGACCGGAGAAGTCCACAACATATCCAGTCATTTCCAACGTTATGTTCTCGACCGACATGTTGTATTGATGCATCTTCTGCCGTAATATTTCCATTTTATCCTCAATGACTTGTAACATGTGGAACGATCCCGGCTTAGCCATGATAGTCCAGCTCGCAAACTGGCGGACAAAAGGCTGTTTCCAGCCCATGTCGAACTCCCATCCTACAACGACTCCAGCGTTAGCTTTGTGTTGTGATGGGATCTAATTATCGATTGGTACGCCTTCACAGGATATGTCGAGGTCGGACCTAATGCCGCCCTGATCGAACAGTAACAGGTAGCGGAGCAAGTCGGCTTTTAATATAAGAACCGTAAGACCAAGGTAGGCCTCGATTATATCAGGACATGACGCGAATGCATTCTTTACGTATTCATTCGCGGCTTCATCCGTCATGAATTTTGCTTGGTACTTTGGATTGCTCTTGATGCAACTATCCGTCCATCCCTGCGTGCCGCTGTTTAGACCATTCTGGCCCAGTTTTTACCAGATGATTTTCGGTATCTCATTTGAGTGTAGCAAGTAGAGTGTAAGATTAGATGGATGAGATCCGCGAGGGATCGGCTACTTGTACAAACAACGCTAACTACATCAGGTAATGGATACCGGTGGAAACCACCTTCCACCACAACGACGATTGTGAGGATGGGAGCATCCTCGAGATCATGAACGTTAGACTACAATCCGTACTCATCTTGACGTCCAGTGCAGTCGATTACTCTTACCTGAGTGAGCTGGCATTGTGTTACGCGTCCGGGATACAAACTTATCGCCAACTCTGCATGCAACACTGCACGGGTCGATCCCGTTCTTGTAAGCCGCACAGGGACAGCATGTGTACTCGCTGTAGAGGGCTGTGCATAAGTGGACCTTACATGCACAATGACCGTACGGAATAGCTGCATAAAAACACTAATAAGGTATTAGGTAGCGGGACAAAACTGTTTCTCGTCAGCTGCACGGAAGCAGCGCGTGTCTCTGCTGTTAGGGGCTGTGCGTAAGTGAGCTGTACATGCATAAATACCGTACGGGATAGTTTCGCACAGACGCCGACAGGAGAGCAGGTAGCTAGACAACCGTTTCTGGTAAACCGCACAGGAACAACGTATCTATTGGCTGCATAGAAGATCTGTGCTGGAGTGGGCCCAATACATGCACAGGATTGTTACGTACTTCCGCGAACGTTGAATCAGAGGCACAGCTTCCAAGTGTTCAACGACAACGACGACGAAAACAACAACGATAACGATGGTGCAGCCACAAACGCCACATCATAGCTCCTCCACCGCACTGAGACCCACAGTGTTTCCCGCGTTCGCCCTCACCGCTTCCCAATCCTATCAGCCACCGTCTGTCAAGCCGTCACACAGGATCTACATTGATGAACAATAGCGGAGATCGTCGTGCATAGCATCTGTGGGCTTGCTTCGTGAGGGAATCGCTATTCCCATGTGAGGAAATCGCAGTTGCACGACAGGTACGAGCTGCCTCAACGTGGCGTCCCCAGCTGCAGGCACGGTGCTCCTTCCTCCGCCCCCATTGGGCGCGAGATGATGACTCTCCTTTCATTCGTTGTCTGATACTGGGCAATATGGCTCACCCATGCTCTCATAGATATACCGCGACTTCGGTGATAGCGAGTAGATCGCATCTACTGGTCGAAGAGAAGGAGATACTGCATTGGGTAGCAGCTATAACGGGGACGATGGTGAAGACAATTTTCACGCTACTGTGGGATATGTTGGACTTGTGGTGTCGTCTTTGCCAGAGGGGGCGGCCAACTCAAGCTTCATAAATCAGGGATCATATCACATTTGGTGACAGCGCAGTGATCGGGCTAACGATGCCCGTCTCTTGTGTATCTATTGCCGTGATAACGTTGTTACTACAACTACCGAGAATTATGTCAGCAGTGGTGTAGTTGATGCAGTCGAGCCCGCAAGGAGACAGGCTTCTACGTCGGCGACCTCTGTTAGGAGTTGTGCGGTCATTATCAGGCATTGCAGCAACAGCAAGACCGCATTAGCCAATAGTAACTTCATTCAGACTGTGCAGTAGCACGTTGCCAGTAGATGAAGGCAGCACAGATGGACTACTATTACCAGCCACATTGCTGGCCGTGTCCACTAGCTCCCAAACGATCGGTTTACTGATTGCCTGGGTCATAAGTTGCTTCTGTTTCTTAGCTTCGCATGTCTTTGGATAGTTCACGCTCAAGGCTGGTTATACAAGACGTTGTGTAAAGAACCGAAGTCGAGGACTGAGCTGGTGAGAATGTAATGAGTGTCCGGCCCGTACACCAGTGCGGAGTTTTGTCAAGAAAGAGGCAAGCAACTTTACTAACCGGTGCGTTATAACATGCTGTGGAGCAGCGATTTAGGTGGCTAGATGTCACCTGGATACCGTGACGGTGTTCTCTTTCTGAGTAGTATCGTAACGTGCCCCCTTCCCACAAAATAGTTGGTAAATGGTCCCACCAACAGTGATTTCAATGAGAACTTCAAGGAGGGCTAAAAAGAATTTGGCTGCATACTAAGTTACAGCGGCTTGATCGACTGATTTTGAAAGCAAGGAATCGTATCACGTAAGGTAATACAAGGAACCCAATGGCTGCTCGTACACGTTCGACAAAGACTACCCTCCACAGTAACACAGTTGTTGTACAACTGAGGGTTCGTAAGTTATGGCATCATGATTAACTTTGCGTAATGTTGGAAAGTACGAACTAAGATAGGAAGAACACCGCCGCTTCGTATAAATTGAGACAATACCATTTGCAAATCCATACAATAACACATCTGTTTAACATCCGCGTTGTATCACGAGAATGAAGTTCAAATTTCTGCTTTTCGTGCTTATGCATTGTGCAAGCATTACTTCCGCTATACCACGGCCAACGATTCACACTGATTTCTATTTGTTCGAGAATCCGGACTCCTCTTCGGTTCAAAGTACTCCAGCATATGATGATCAGGCCCCTCTACGGCAAATTGCCCCGGTGAAATGGGAGTCTCTTGGAGGCATTGCAACCTCACTGGTTACGGCGGTGTCTTGGGGATCGAACCGCATTGACCTTTTTGTAACGAGCACTGGAAACGCTGTCGAGCACAAGTGGTGGAATGGCCAACAATGGGGCGGATGGGAGTCTCTTGGAGGCATTGCAACCTCTCCGATTTCGGCAGTGTCCTGGGGATCGAACCGCATTGA